ATGGTATTTGCGTGAATGGTATTCTAAGAGTCGGTGGCAGTGCTGTTAATTTTCATACCTTTCGATTGAAGATGAACCAATACAACCATTCAATCAATTCTGTGAAAACGAATTCTCACATGACCATAATTTGAAGAGCCCCTTTCTCATTCGAAGCTCATCGTCACTGTCGGTTGAGTCACTCACTATCATTTGCTATACGACAGTGGAGTATGGAAGAAACCCCGATGTCGGATCGATGTTAGGCAAATTTAAGGCCGATGTTGACTTAATGTCGTGTTGTTGTCGGGCAAATTTTGGGTTTATGTCGGGTCAACATTGGGTTGGGGTTTGGTAGAAGTCAGGTTGGTGTCAGGTTGGCTTAGCTTTTTCGCTGAAATGTCGACCAGAGCTCCGTTTATGCGTATTTTTTTTTCTTTTTCCTTGATTTGTTTTCCGTCGATATTGTTTTCCGTGCTGAGCACCAATGCTACCGACGCCAAGAAGGCAGCTCCCACACCTGTACCCTACCTATCGACCCATCAACTCATGAACCGGGGATCAACGGCTTTACTGGCGTGATCAGGGATGTTATACCTCAGAACATCCCGGTGGCGCCGACTGAGATTGAACCCAGGCCTGCTGGGGTGAGAGATAATCACGCTTACCACTACACTCAGTTTATGTGTAGGTTACACTCAATTGAATGATATTAAGCGTTTCTCAAATGAGAATGATTCATGCCTTCGTCAAATGTCTCGGAGATGAACCAGCGTCTGGCTGAAAATCTCCTTAATAAAGACAACCAACCAACCTTCGTCAAATGACTAGGCAACTGATATCACCCATTCGAAGGAGGTCCCATTTGATAGCGGATAGCTGCTTTTCTCATTTTCATCAAACAAGTTCAATTGATTTGGGGAATTTACAACACTGGTCGGTAGACCTTTGCTTCATTCGGACGAGCCTGACGACGCCAAACATCCTATGATACTCCCAGAAAGACACCGTTTAACCAGGATGATCTTTAAACATTACCATCTTCGTTTACTCCACGCCGGTCCGCAACTTCTGCTTGGAAAGATTAGGCAACGGTACTGGCTTCTCGGAGGAAGAAACGTTGCAAGGCAGGTTGTCCACCAATGTCTAACGCGCATCAGGTCGAAGCCAAAACAAGTGCAGCAGTCCATACTTCCATAAGAACTACCGACATCGAGGGTTAGTGGTCCGTTCTCCGAAACCGGCGTGGACTACTTTGGTCCGGTCTATATACGGTCAGCCCCACGAAGAGGTGCTGCGAAGGCCTACTTAGCCATTTTTGTGTGCATGTGCACGAAGGTGGTGCACATGTAATTAATGTCCGATTTGTCCACTGAGAGGTTCCTGCTTGCACTCCGACGCGCTATGGGCAAAAATGGGTCCAAAATTACCCAAAATTCAATATCTCAACAGCACGCTGAATTCCGGCTACGAAAAATGACTTTTCCGAAGGGAAATCGTCCGGGGAATCGATTGCACGTGGTCTCATAGACCGGAGAGCCTTGTAGGTATGTGTTTTGGACCATTTTACCCCATTTTCCCCTACTTTTTGGAGGAAATGTTTTTTCACAGCTCTATTTTTCGTAAAACATAAGCACTTTATGCATGGTTGTAGAATACTATGTCTTTAAAGAACAGTTTCTGAGATATTAGGGGAATACGGGGTACAATTTGGGACCACGTGCAATCGATTCCCCGGACGATTTCCCTTCGGGAAAGTTGTTTTTCATGGCCGGAATTCAGCGTGCTTTTGAGATATTGAATTTTGGGTAATTTTGGACCCATTTTTGCCCATAATGCGACGGTTTATTGTGCGCAAAGGAAAGTGTATGGATTTGTATTCGGACAACGGTACGAATTTCGTTGGAGCCCGAAACCAGCTGGAGGTTCAGGTTCTGTGCCAACGAAGGGATTAGTTGGCATTTAAATCCTCCCGGTTCCCCACACTTTGGAGGATTGTGGGAAGCTGCGGAACGATCAGCTAAACATTACATTCTACGGGTCATCGATTCCAATCCTGTTTTACACGAAGATATGTTCACGTTGCTGGTTCAAATAAAGGCTGTACCGTTTAAAATCCACACACACTCAAATTGCTCTAACTTTTGATCCGTTGGGTGAAATTAATTGAAATTTTGCGTAGACATAGTTTAATGTGTATTGTTTACACTATGTGAGTTGATTAAAAGTTTTCAAAATGGCGACGAAAGAACAGTGCGTGCGCGAAAAAGTTTTGCACGAGTACTTTGAGAATAAGGATCTGTTGCATCGTGCCATCGGAAAAAAAAAGTTGGGAATCGCGAATCCCACGGTGCTGGTATCACAAAACGGTTCGAAGAACATCTGAACGAGAACGACCACAAACGCGTGGTTGGGGCCTTTAAACGGAAACCGAACGCCTCAGTTCGAGATGTGGCTAAAAAGTTGCATGTTTCGTGCAGAATACCAAAACTCGAGCTGGACTCCGTACGTTTAAAGTTCAGAAGTACCCAAACCGTGGTACAGAAGATGTCGAAGTTCGCCAAGAAGTTCTTAATTTGGCAAGCGATTTGTACTTGCGGAAAGCGGAACACCTTTCGTTACCGCAAGCACCATGAATGGACAGGTGTATTTGGAAGAGTGTCTTCAAAAGTGGCTTCTCCCTCTCCTGAAGGCTCACGACGGTCCGACAATCTTCTGGCCGGATTTGGCATCATGCCACTACACGAAGGACGTGCTAGAGTGATATAAGGCGAATGATGTCGATTTCGAGCCGAAAGATCTGAACCCCCCAAATACTCCGGAACTGCGCCCAATAGAAAAATACTGGGCCATTATGAAGGAGCACCTTCTAAAACGACCTAAAGTGGTGAAGAATGTAGAAGAAATCAAGAAAGCATGGGATAATATGCAAAAAACTGTCAATTCTGAGGTCGTGCAGAGTCTTATGCTAGGGTTAAGGCCAAGATTCACGCATTTGGATATAAAGACGAAATAAATTTAAATAATGATGCCAAAGCTAACTTTACCTATTCATTTTAACTCCCTGGAAATTTGTTGATAATCCGATAAAATCTCGAATTTTGAGAATTAATTTTGTGTGTGCGGATTTTAAACGGTACACCCTTTAAAAGGCTGCTTGAATTCTAGGCCGCTGATTCCGATATCAGATGATCCTGACGATCTTGAGCCTCTTAGCCTTTTGAATAAAGTTCAAGACCTTAGAATCAAATAAATTTTTAGATTTATCCCTTTTTAAATATGAGCCTCGATATGAGCAGGCTTTCGAGTTTTTGGCATCGTCGATTAAGTATGCATCAACATTGCAATGCATTGGTTTGCATATCATTAATTGCCTCAATTTTTTCGTACCAAACCATCATGAGTTGATTTTTTAAAGTAGGCTTAACACTGCATTTGGATGTTCCCAATTTCAAATAATGGAAGAATACAAAACAAAACAGCGGCACCGGTGTTGTAGTAGTAAGCGTGATTACCTCTCACCCCAGCAGGCCTGGGTTCAATCCCAGTCGGCGCCGCCGGGATGTTCTGAGGCATAACATCTCTGATCACGCCTTCCGTCGGTTCATGAGTTGATGGGTCGATAGGTAGGGTCTAGGTGTCGGAGCTGCCTCCCTGGCGTCGGTATCACTGGAAAACAAGATCGTAGGAAAAACAAACCAAAGGAAAAAAATACAAAACTGCAAATCATATGCGTAGTTGAAAAGTAATTAAACTTATTAGAAGCAAATATTCGTTCATACTTTGATCTAAGCAGTCACAAGAATATCTTCGATACATCGATAAATTTGACTCATTGTCCAATATGTCACGCAGCTGTAGGATGATCAATAAATTGGAAACAAGCAGGCACATCAAAAAGATTCTCTGAATTGGGTCACATTCAATCAAGTTGATTGACAATAATTCTAAATTTGGCAAGCTTCTCGCAAACTACTGTTCGACATTGCTCATGATTGATTTCAAATATCAGCAGCATCTCTACTCTGGCCATGAACTTAGCTCAGAAGTGTTCTAAATTTAAACCCTCTGGAAAACAATTTCGTTCTAATTTGAGGAACGATGAAAAATTCCACTCGCTCTTTCATTGACTGCAGCGTGAGGCGCGCAGAAAAGCCGAGGTGAATCAATTTCTTTGACCGTGAGCTAATTGGTCATAAAACTATCTTGGCAAAAGATCAACACGGAAAGTTCTCCCTGGGCAAATACAACGATCGCAAATACTATGCCTATTAATGCAGTAAATTGAAAACATTCGCATCTAAAAACTATACATCACGCGCTTGCTCTTTGTGGGTGAAACAACACCACCCTCATTCAAATTGCTTACAACCATGAGGAAACCTCCTTCCCGCTTGCGTACACGCTTAGATACTTTCAAGTGCAAAACAAAATAATTCCGAGAAAACGCCATCCTGTCTCGCTGCACGATGCGGCACTTGCCCATTGCGTAGGTTGACAAGACGGATGATGTAGACTGATGAAATTGTTAGTATACAATTTGATTAGCTTCAATTGATCCAATTTCCTACTAGGTACTGGTACATATGATTCAGCAGTTCTAAATTAGTCCTCATGGTAACGCTAACTCTACTTGTTGTGTCATGTCAATGGGTATAAATATTTGCGTAAATAGTGATAACAAATTGTAGAGATATAACGATACGTGTGTATAGTTGCGACGTATGCTAAAATGATTGCACATGTCCATTGTTTACTTGATGGTTTGAATTCATATTCCAAATGTGCTTATCAGAGTAAACTTTATATTGTCGAATGTTGTGTAATTTGAAGATTTATTTTCAGATTTTCATTTGAATGTAGACACTGTTCTTCAAACTAACGTCAATGAGCGGCAAATCACCACGATATTAGAGTCACAATATATTGTTATCGCTTCCAAGGTCAGCTTTAAGTATCACTTTATAGTAACAGCGTTATCACTGGAGCCCACCCACGTTTTCCCAACGCAATCAACTCACCTATCTTCTTCTGGCTATCATTCCGGGCCAGATCGCCATTTTCTGACTGTTTGACTGGACTGTATCCGCCGTTCTTAGTGATCAGCTTGCCCTCGTTACACTCGATGCTCTCCTCACCCATTGTGATGGGCAGTGTGGCTATTGCGTGGGCACCGACCGCAGTCACAATCCCGTTGTCAATCAACCGTTGAAATTGATCGGAATTCGTTACTCATAGAATCAATTTCGCACTGTCGATGTCAATACTCCCGGCGAAGGCCAAAACCAACCGTCGTTATCCGTCGTCCGTCTCGCCAGATTCACGCAGTAAATCATATGTGATGTGCGTGGTTTACTTATGTTGTCGTAAGTTCACAAGGTAGCTTGAAGAAGTATCTTATCTATTGTCGCCGATGGAGATACATTGTACCATCTTTCGAGCTATCGGCGTCCGAACTGACACATGTGAGTTGTAAATTAATCCTGATCTCTAGTGCTGAGTTACGAGCTTCTGAAAATAAGGAAATGAAAACGTGGAAATAGGTTACACACTCGTAGCTTTCGTGCAATCGCAGACCTTGGCAAGGGTTAACAATATTCGAATCTTCTTTTATAGGTCATAAAAGTTTTAGCTGCTATTATACCGGTTTTTAATTGGATTTTCCTCTTTGAGTGATTGAACAATGAATGTTGTTACTGTTGCCGTTCTGATGAATTCAATCTTCATATGTAAAAGGCATTATCATTGAATTAAGAGATATATGCGGTTTCTTCATTAAAAAAAGGATTTTAAATTTGACCCCAAAATATGAGTCAATAATAAGTGCAAAAAATGATGAAATAGTGAAGGTTCAGATGTCGCGGAAATGTACTATGGTCGAAAACGCAAGATTTCAAGACAATAAGGGATATGTCGAAAACCATGCACTTTAGAGGTTTGACATTTTCGAGAGAGTTTGTCTTTAAGAAAAGATCTTCCTTTTTGGCGTAGGTTGTGACTAAAATGGTCTTCTTGTTCCAAAATTAAAATGTTTAACCTTTTATTTTTAAGATTAGAGAAATATTTGCTTCTAAAAGTTATAGATTAATTTAAAGCAACTCTGCTGAAAAAATAAAAATTATATCTCATCAAAATATCCTTCTGTGTACATTTTTCGAAATTTAATTGTGGTGGCTCTGATTCAACAGTTTTTCTTTTGCTCTAACTTTTTTTTATTCCGATTTGATGTTAAGGACAAGGATTTTAAGATCATCATGACGCATCTTTTCAAGGTTGTTTAAAGTTGGTTTTTGTCCATTTTTATATGACACTTTTCTCCAAAAGGAGCAAACATGAGCTACAATTTTATAAGATTAAAAGTCCTTACAAAGTCCATGGAATACTGTTTGTCTCCTTTTGTACAATTGATGAGAAAAGTATGATTGAAATGAAAACCATTATTGATAATTTTTACATAAAATTGCTTTCGTAAAACAACAACGTTAATCGAAATTAAAAAAAGTTAGAGCAGAAGAACTGTGTCACCCGAAAAGCAACGTCACAAGCACCTGTAAAATCCTCAACTCTCTCATCGGGACATCGGAAAACAACTAGGAATCGTGCAGTCAACGGTGAGCCGTGTGATTAAATATTACTACGAAACTCTGAGCATCGAACGGAAGGAGAAATGCGGTCAGAATGGATGTTCTATTAGTGATGAGGATCACAAGCGTGTCGTGAAAGCGTTTAAGCGGAATCCGAATGCTTAGGTCACGGATGTTGCCAAAAAGTTGAATCTGTCCAAGTTTTTCGTTCAGAGAACCAAGGACCGCGAGGGACTGCATACGTACAAAGTGCAGATGGCTCCAAATCGTGACGAACGGCAAAATACGGTGGGAAAGTCATGAGCCCGGAAACTGTACACCCAGATGCTGACGTAGCCTCATTGTCTCATCGTGGATGATGAGACTTACGTCAAGGTGGACTTCCGGTAGCTTCCGGGGCTACTGTTCTTCACCGCCCAGCACAAATTTTATGTTCTAGAGCAAGTAAGGAAGCAGAAACTTTCAAAGTTTGCCAAGAAACACATGTTTTGGCAAGCGATCTGGTCATGTGGCAAACGGAGTGCGCCGTTCGTGCCTACCGGGACTGTAAACGGGGAGATCTACCTCAAGGAGTGTTTACAGAAGCGTCTGCTTCCTCTGTTGAAGCAACACAAGTTCCTTACGATCTTCTGGCTGGATCTACCCAGATAACAATTTGGTGCTTAACAAGTGTTGTTCAATCGATTTTAATTCAGCCTTAGTTTTAATAATTGTTGTACATAGACCACGTTTACCATTGTTCAGCTTTTAAACATCTAAATCTGGTGATTTCAATCAGCCAAAAGATGAACAGTTATACAAATTATAAGCTTTTAAAGGCATTAAATGACAGTCTTTTCCAACCCTTGTTCAGCCTTCTAATTTTATTTAGAAAAAAAATAAAATAATGGAAGACCGCATCATACCTTATATATTTGTATGGGACTGCAACAAGGTCCACGTCAAATTTAAGTTGAATAACAGCAACCGGAAGAGTATTATTCAGCAATGTAAAATTGTAAACAACCAGCGGTGAAAGTAAAACATTCTTCTCATTTTCAAGTGTCGTTAACACAATGTGGACATAAGTGCGCTATTTATTTCAAGTCAAAATTGAGTTATATTTTTGGAAATTCTGTCTGAAAATGCAGTGCAATATAGCAGACAAAACACAGAAACACAAATGTTAATGCTTCCGACGTCGTCGCAGCCAACTTTTACCTGGGGCTATTCCTAAAAAGCTCCTCTACCTTGCCTCTACTGCTGCCGCTACTTGGGATTAGAAAGGTAGTCAGTGAATTTAGAAGAACTAATATGCCAGAAATGCAACGAGTGACACTGACTACATTTAACCAATCAGGTTATTAAAATATGTGTAACGCATTGCTGATTTGTGGAGTAGTGATTAGCTTAAATAAGGCTTGTTCAATCTTTAGATCAGCTAACTTATTGAGGTTGTATTATGGGGATACAATTCGCTTCAATCGCTACTAATCAACTATATAATCAGCCTTGTGTTAATCAGCTTTGTACACCTTAAATCAACCAATAATCAGCTTCTGTTCTAGCTGTTCAGCTTGAATTGTTGCTTGGGTAGCTTCGTTCCACTCTTCAAATGTTTTCCTGTACAACAAAAAAATAATTTAGATATCACATCAAGGTGGATGCACTTCAATCGTGTCGATAATATGGTGTAATATTACTTGCAAAAAAGGAAATCATCATTAATACAGTGCATGAACTGACATTACAGTGTTTCACTGCATATGTTTATTTTTGTGGCCATAAAAATTGCATGAGATTTTCGACATGATTGAAGTGCATCCTCTTAGATGTAATTAAAATTTATTTTTGCTGTGTTGAGTGGTACGAAGCCAACGGGGTCACTTTCGTACACATGGACATGAACCGCTCCCAACGCACCGGAACTAAGGCCCATCGAAAAATACTGGGCTATTATGAAGCAGGCACTACGGAAGCATCCCAAGTAGGTCAAATCTGAGGAAGACATGAAGAAAAGGTGGGTTTCCGTACAGAAGAAGCTGCAACCAGATGTTGTACAGAACCTAATGAGCGGAGTTAAGTGTAAGGTGCGAGCGTACGGTTATGGTATTGAAGTTGAATGAAATAAATATGTCAAAAGTTTACTAATAGGTTATTTTTTATTGTCTGAAAGTTTGAAAAGGATCGGTCAACTAGGTAATTTTCTGCAGCGTTTTTTTCCGTGATGCAATTTGATATGGGGCACCCTTTATTCCTCTAAACCATACAAATTAAAACAATATTGTTTTCTTATTTTGATAAAAAGAGGACCACCGTCGTTGAAAAAAAAATAGGGCCGTTTTCACCACCTACGCCAAAAGGAAGATCATTTTTTGTGAACAAACTCTCACAACCATGTCAAACTTTGTCAAAGGAATCAAAATTCTATGGACATATTCATATCATTCTATGGACATTTTTCGAAATTTAGTTGAGGTTGATTTGAAAAAAAAACAGTTTTTTTGACCTCACTTAGAAATGTAGGTGGCGAAAGCTCGCAAAAACTTCCCAAGCAACACACTTCCGCCTCGAAAAGTTGCGGCAACTTGATTGTGACCGAAATAAGTCGCATAGGAGTTACTACAACCGTTTTGCGACAAGTGTGCTGCTAGGGTTCACTGCAAGACGCCAAGTATTTATATAAATTTATAATTGATAGACCATAGCGGATGGAACTGATAAAGGAAACACAGATAGATTGATGGAATTGCGGACACGACAGAAAGCAAAATCAAAACTAAAGTCACCTTCCAGTAAAAAGAAAAATTGATAAATGATGACACCCCATTAGCCATAAATACGTTAGCCATACGGACGAGTGCCATAATGGACGTTAGCCATACTGTTATTTTCGTATGTGGACGTTAGTCATAATGTACGATAGCCATAATGGACATCTGCCATATTATTATAATTAAGTTAACTAACATTTTTCCAATATATGTTTGCTCTCGGATAACGTGAATATTTCAATTGAATGTTTCATTTAAAAAAAATCAAAGAACAGCTTATGTTGTAAAGAAGCGGTCAACTCCAAAAGAGCTGTTACTTTTGAGAATTTTCAATTGGAGTTATTCAAACTATTTTATCTATCAAAGAACTGCTCATAATGTAAAGAAGGAGTCAACTCCAATAGAAAAATATTTGTGAGTATTTCAATAGATACAAAAAATATCAAAGAACAATACCTGGAACATGATCGGATGCGGCAACTTGATATGATCTCATATGATCTTGTTTGTGAATTCTAACGTCATTCGATAGGTTTTGGCATTTGGTAACTTTCACGAGACACCCGGAAAATATTGGAGTGCGGCCCTAGCTGCAGACAGTTTTGAAAGATCTTTAACCTTCCCCTGCCTCCATCTAGACAATCGTTAATAGAAATTTGTAAACATTTGAATGGATCGTAGACACTCGCCAACCTCTCCCATAAGTGTCTACGTTGTTTATGAACAGCCTCGTAATCAGAGTGAACACTGCAGATTACAGTGCTATTGTTGTGGGTGGTCAAGGGTAGTCAACGACTATATAGCAGTAAATAAAATAAATGTCTGGAAAACGCCAAAAATTCAAGATTACAAAAAGCGAAGTCACTTTTAGGAACTTGTCCTAAAAATACCTAGCGGATATTTGTTTGTTTGTTCTAAATTGTCGTTTCGAACCCTAGTGCATTGTGAAACCACTACAGGATCATCACTGTAAATATAAATAAATGTGATGTGAATCGTTGTGTTGAAATTTTAGCAACAGTCTACTTTGTTTATTCTGTAGTACCGGATGTTTTCTACCGTAGCAATCTTCGTAGTAGTTGCCTATCTTATCTCTATCTGAACAAAATGTAACAAGTTATGATGAGAAGTTACGATCACACTGAACTGAATTACTGTGGTATAAAATGAGGGC